ATGTCTTAAAAACACAAAAATTAAAGACTATCGTAAGTGCCACAAAGAGAGCAGACCAAGAGATGTGCACAAATTTAAACTACCAAACTTGGACTATTGACTATTTAGAACAAAAAAGTCACGGAAAAACAAATATAACTTCTTTTACTTGAATAAAATTAGAAAAGACATTAGAAGGAAGATGAAAAGGAAAAAAGACTCAATCTAGGCAAGCTCTGAAATTTCATTGTGCTTTTTTTTTTTTTTTTTTTTTTCCTTTTCCCATCAGAAATTACCTTAAAACCACTACTCAGAATCTGAATCAATACCTTCATATATAACAAAAAAAAAAAAAAAACCCGAAATCAATACATTAGCTATGAGATAAATAATTACAGATTTATAGGCACCCAGTCGTAACATAATAGATTTTTACCTGTCACATGTTCAAGCAAATTTGATGTACTTGTGCGGCCAAGCAATTGTACTGCCTATTGCATCATCTAGAGTAAAATGTTCACTTGGACAACGATAAAATTTAATTCCAAGTACTAGAACTTGTCGAACCTAAACTTTATAGCAGTCTGGCCCAAGAATGGCATGATTTACACGCGAGGTAGGATTTGTGGAGGCAATTTCTGGTTTTGCGACCACTTCTCCTGTTCCAGTCCAATTCATTTGTTCACAGGAGCCATTCTCATTGATATTTACATTACTTTTCATGGACTATAGATCAAAACAGCCAATGGTATCAGAAATATTTCGAGACTTTTAACTCTAGATATGACATATTAATGACGAGAAAACTTACAAAGTATAACCTGTGCCATAGATGTAGAACAATGTAGATTGCCACTATCACTCCCACTGTGACTATTAAAAAAATAATAATATTATCACATCACTTGATCAGCAATATTAAACATTGTTTTTTTTTTTTTTTTTTTTTTTTTTTTTTTTTTTTTTTTTTATGGATACCTCCTGAACTTTTTGAATTTGATAATTTAGTATTTTTTCTCTTTTTCTTAGAAATTAACCCCTTCAACTTAAAAGTTTTTGCAATTAAAGTCCAATCAAAATTAACATTTGCTTTTTTAATGATTCTAATTACATGAAGCGCATATGAGCATCCGTTGAGGGTAATAATCATTAGAAATTAATAGTCTTTTATCACAGTTGATTTTATGTGGATACATCAGATGACTCTGAACTGAATAGATAAGATGAGAAACAAATTTTATTACCCTCTATAAATGCTCACGTGTACGTCACATGATTAGAATCGTAAAAAAAAAACAGGCATCGTTTCCTATTGGGGCTTAATTGCAAAGATTTAAAAGCTGAATAGGTCAATTGTCAAGAAAAAAGGAATGAATATCAAATTGTTAAATTTGAAAAGTTGAGGTGGTATTCGTACAAAAAAAAAGCCTTAAATATTTAAACAAATAACTAATAATAACTTACACTTGGCTTTAGTTGTAAGATGATATCTTCTATGTACTTTTGTCATTCCGTTAACTTTTTAATTTCACTTTGAAGTTCTTATTTCTATGTATAACTTTGTGTTTGAGCAATTACCTTAGAAGGAGCGACTCCAAATTCAAGACCTCTAACACACCCTGGACGTTCTGGGCCAAGAATCTTAGTCAATATGCGTCATCTTTAATTGAAGAAGTTGCTAGAAGTTTAGGGTATTCTTCCATTTTTCTCTAAAAAGTACAAATTGCAAAAGTTAGTTAATATGATACTTTAAAAAAAAAAAGTCTTTGTCTATATGACTTTTTAAAAAAAAGTTAGTTAATTGAAATTTAAGACTTTACCCACCCATATATGTGTAGGTAAAAATTCTATATGTGTAAGTAAAACTATTTACCCACATTTAAAAAGTATCACAATATGTAGGCAAAACTGTATAGAGAAAAGTCTTTGTCTACACATTTTATTTTTATGTGCAGGCAAACGAGTATTATTAAATACCCACAAAAATGTGTAAGTAATAAGTCACAAAATATGTAGAATTATCTGACTTGGCTAATGATCTAGACAATAGCGTGGCAATCTAGGTGGCAAACGCTTATTGATAATTAGGATGTTTATATGGCAATCTACGTGACACAACCATATTGAATCTTTGATTACTTGGTAGTTGACCTGGCCAAACACGTGTCACTGACATTGAATACATGTCACGCCACATGCTCATACATTGTTGACGTGGCCCTCACGTGTTATACGTGTCACTGATGTGGCGTATTGAACAATGCGTAGATAAAGGTACTTTTGTGTTGGTAAAAATATTATCAATTTTTATTTTGTTTTAAAATTATTTGTATATATGTGTGGATAATTGTTTTAAGTGTGTAAGTGATAAAAATTGTGTGGGTAAACATTTTAAAGTATAAGTAAAGATATAAATTATCTAGGTAAATTTTTTGAATGTGTAGGCCATAAAACTACACATTATAACTTGTAATACGTTTATTTGCATAAATAATAATAAATTGCACTAAAAAATGATATAAAAACATAAACTTTTAAAGTAAATACTTCCTAATATCAAGAACAACATTCAAAAGACTAACACTTTATTTGGTAAGAAGGAAAGAAAATGAGAGGGAAAGGAAAATTAAAGGATAGAAAATTAAAAGGAAAGAAAAGATTATGATTTTTCCTCTAGTTGTTTGGTATGATCGGGAAGAAAAGAAATGAATTTACCTTCTCTTGTTTGATATGGGAAGTTAAACCAAAAGAATAGAAGAATTATTTTGGGAACAATTAGCATTTTATCGAAGTAGTATTAACCATATCTTTTTTAGTTCCAAAAAAAGCAATAAAAATAATTTAGCATCACCATTTGTCATTAACATTCAACCTATCATGCATTAGATATAAAGTTTCAAATACAAATAGGATTTTCATACGACTGCTATACATTAACAAATACAAACCAAGCGCTTGCATAATTTTTCAAAATTGCCTCTTAATTTTTTTGCTTGGAATGTTGATAGAGAAAAGGGTAGTTTAGTAATTTTGCTCACTTTAATTTTTTTTGCTAATCTTGCTCACTTTAATTAGCTGTCTGCATTTTCCATTCCATTTTCCGCCCACTTATGGAAAGAAGAAATAAAGTGAGACACTCCTTAGTTTTTCCACCTAAATTTCCTTTCCATCCAAACTTCCTTCCTACCAAACATCCCAAATTATCAATTTCCATCTTAAAATTCCTTAAATATTTTCCTTCATTCCCGTTTTTATTCATACCAAACAGACTGTAAGTCTCACATTACAATGTCATTTGTACTCCATAATGTCATACCTTATAATGCAAAGTCTCAAGCTAATTAAAGTAAAAGAAATGAACACAATAAAAAAAAATCTAACCCGCATCATCACGTTGCTCTTAATCTTGGTGTGGATCTGTATCAGATACATGCCCAGGTTGGGGCGGAGGTGGTATAAGGTTATTTGCTCTCAGAACTTGACGAAACTCATCAAACCTCCTTTAACATCATGGATTGGTAGCGTTCAACTTGGCTAGCAGCCCATCATAAGTAGGACAAAGACTATATTAATAAAAAAAGTATTAATTAAGAGTAATAATTAAAAATTCAGACTAAGAGTATACTCTTAAGTAAGTCAACATTTTTTTTTTTGATCATGTACGAAAATCATATGTATGAGAATGGTGGGTCTGTAAAGTCAGCCCATTCTGTAGTTTCTTGTCTGGCCACGACTGATTTTGGCTTCTGCGCTTTTACACAAATACGACACCCAAGAGCTTTGAATGGAGTTCATCATGAAATATATTTATAGCAGAAAATCCGTACAAAAAACGTATATAATACAGAAATGCCTTTGACATTATCATACCAAAGTAACTACAGTAACTAGCATAGTACTTATGCGCACTCCAATGTGATATCTAAATTTCATTAAATGGAGGAAGCCGATTATGCTATTGGCGGTACTCGATTGTGCTACTGGCGGTAGCCGACTGTGCTACTGGCACTAGTCGATTATGCCGCAACTAGTTTGTTTATTTATTTTAATTTAAAAATACACACACAACAAAAATGGGGGCAGAATGGGGAGATCTTTGGTGACCGGCATTGCGGGAGCGAAGTAATTCTCCATTGCAGAATGGGGGATTGGTGCAGAGGTGCCAAATAGTATATACAAGTAGTCATACAAGTAATTTCAATTTAATTCATCATTGTCCTTAAGTAAAAGGCTAATTTAACACATTCTCATATACGTGAGTAAATATGGTGCTCATCTCTTATTTTGTTACATCATCTCCTTAAATTTTAGTTAAAATAACTAAAAAATTATTTTAACCGGTAACTTCTTGTCGAATCACTCTAAGCACATTCTTTACTTTAGGTAAACATATTTAAATAATAGATAACGTGAAATGGCTAGCCTGCGCTTGTTAGCTATATTTGACTAGTGTAAAATGTATTCTCCAAAATAAAGAGTTGTTTAGCTAATAGTTGGGGTGGAAATCACAAGCCAAAAAAAAAAAAAAAAGTTAAATACATTAGCCATATAACTAAAAATATAAAATAGCTAGCACACTTGAAAATGCTCTTAGGGCAACAAGCATAGAAGGGTTGGCAGACTAATATATTCATATATAGGAGGTTAATCTAGGGTTGTTCATGGTTTGACCAGTCCTAAACCATTAAGTTCTCAGACCATACCGTTTTTCACGGTTTAAAAAAGATTCAGACCCGACCAGACTGTTTGATACATGAGACCAAACCAGACCATATAATTTCATGTTACCTATGATACTCTAGAATCAGAATTATAACAGTAATGAGCAACAATAACATGTAATCCAAAGCTAAAGTCCATAACTATTAACTAATAATATTACAGTAATCTAAAAGGTAATAAATAACAAGAAGATAGAATTCAAAGCAAAAGTCCATAACTAATATAGGGACAGTTCAAAACTAATATATATATATATATCAAATTAGACTGGACCGTTAGTGAAGCGGTCTAGTCTGGTTTCAAACCGTTTATAGAATGTGTTGATGTGGAACTAAACCGACAGGTTAAAAACCGCCAAACTGATTCAGAATGACAGTTACGACCGAACCATGCACAACTCTAAGTTAATCAATCAAATCATATTTATTCACCGACATCTAATATTAAGATCTTGAGTTCAAACTCCCTCACTTCACATTAAGAAAAAAGAACTCCTTAATGCAATAAAGGATATACTATTCAATGAAGACTGTAGCATCCTTTTTAAGGAACTTCTTGAACCAGAAGGCGGAATTTTTCATGTGTCTTTGCAACTTGTTTTTGAAATCAACATAAGTCATGCCAAATCGGATAGCATAACCAGATTCCCATTCAAAGTTATCCAGCAATGACCAAGCATAGTATCCTTTCACGTTTGCTCCAGCCCTGAGAAGAACTCAGCTTGTTAGTATATCTTCATTTTCCTCATTTGAAGATCCAACAACTATATGCTGAGATCCTAATTTTCGGTAGTGCCTATTTTGGATGTTAGACTACATAAAAATTATATAAAATATATAACACAAAGTTTAAAAGAATTTAGTAGTTCAGATCGACATGAATAGGATTTTTCCGTACTCTCTGAAAGAATCCTCATTTTACTTTATTGTGCTTTTTTCATTCCCTTTTCTTGATAATATATATAAGAAGAAAAACAATATTTGATTCCATTTGTGAAAAGGAAAGCAAGGCGCATTCGCTAGAGATTCAGTATAATATATATATATATATATATTAGTTTTGTATGAATGCTAGATAGATCTATGCATATGGAAAATAATATATAAGAATATGTTTCTAGTCTAGGAAAGAAAAAGGAAAAAAAAGATCAGTTTGAAATATAAATTTGTGGGTTTACTTGATAGCCTTTAAGAGATATGATAGATGATCACGGTGGTAGCTTATCCTTGAGCTATCATTCAAGGCATCTTCAAGTGTTGCGCCAGAATATATGCCAACTCCTGCAAATTAAAGCCATGTTGTTTATATTAACACGAGAGTTTAAAGTGAACTTTTGTTTTCCCCTTTTATTTTTTATTTTTTACTTTTGAAAAATACCATTCATTATGTAAAAAGAAACGTGATTAAATCGAGAAGCAAAACAAATGCAAGAAATGATTATGCTTTACCATTCTCAGTTATGTAAATGGGGGGATCGTTGTATTTTCTTTTTATGTATAGGACCAAATCTTTAAGTCCCTTTGGATAGACATTGAGCCATTTAATCGGAGTCTACACAAATGATCATGCATATATAAGTATAATAATTTTATTATCCTCAAAACATGAAACATTAAAAGGGTATTGTGTTAAGATTTCCTAATGATGAGGAGAGAGCGTCTATACCAGTTGTCCAATAGGAACGCCATCTTTCTCAGCTGTAGCAAAATATATGGAGGTGAGTACTTTAATTAAAAGGGTAACAAATGAAAAAAAAAAAAAATTCTATACTTAGAGCTTCTTTGTTGGGGGAATTCAAAATATTCTAAAGAAGTCTAATTAATCTTGATCTATTACAATTTGAATGAATTTTATTGATTTATTTATCCTTTTTTTTTTTTGAAAATGAAAGGATTAAAAAATACTTAATTGAAAATAGTAGTAAATTACTTTATTGCCCCTTATTATTAAAGGAAATCCCGATTTGAAAGAATTACGCATCAATGGACTTCTGAAGTATGCGAAGGCGTGCAGTGTAAATTCCTACCTCTCTATATCTCCGAGATAGTATCAAATTCTTTACCCTTTATCTATTAGATATACAGAAGAACAAGTGCCTCTTTCTCTTAGTTTTGTACTTCAATCAAGGGTATAAGTGTCAAATCCAGTTAATTTCCTTTTTTTTTTTTACATCTACATAAATGTGAAATAGGGCCCATTTTATATAATTAGAATTATAATTTCAAATTACCCTGAATTTACATGTTCAAATTGATAAGCAATGACAAATTTTTTTTTTTCTCTATCTCTCTATTTTTAAAGCCAAAATTTATCTATCTTAGTTTCCTGTCAAAGTCCTAAAATGTGGCCTTTTTTAAAAAAAAATATTTTTGAATAGACTTTGAAACTTGTACTAGAGACTTATTAGGACACTGTAAATTTCATTCCCACACTTTTATTGCTTATTAGAAAATTTTGATATTTTTTTTAGCCTATTAAACTCTTTTATTCGAAGCACTTACCAAAAAATCACAATTTTTACTTCTCTTTTTTAATTGACTAAAGCAAAATCTTTGCCGAATAAGCCCTATATATTTCTCTAACCTTATCTACCTCTCTGTCCTTAATTCCTTCTTCTTTTTTTTTTTTCTGCCTCTCCTAACAAACAAAGGCTTTAAGCCTACTAGACTACCACAATAGTGGAAATTGTCATCACAACAAAGTTTACCTTTTAGCTACAAGGTTTAGTCTCAATTTTTATACTTTTAACTACAAATATCTTAAGTAGTTCAAAACCATAATAATTTGTTGTAATGAATTCCAGTCACCTGTAAGGACAACATGGCTATCTGATGTGTAACTCAAATTGGTGCCACTTGACTTAGTAGTAGATTCTTCAGCATAAAATGCAGTATAGTAACTCAAACCAATAAAATCAAGAGACCCCTTTAAGAGTTTGGATTCGTCTTCGGTAAATTTCGGCAATCTACTCTTTACCAAGGATCTCATGGTTCTTGGGTAATCTCCATGTATGATTGGATTCAAAGTCCTAAATTAAAGAATGAAACTTCTATTTAATTAAAATGGTATTCCTTGGAAACAATTGTAGTGTTTTGATATGTAAAAAAATCTTTACCATCCAAGCATAAAATCAAGAGCTGTAGAGGCAGCTTTGTAGCTATTAGGTGTGTCGAATTTTGGAACATACCACTGACTTTCTATATTTATCCCAATTTTCCCATTTTGAGGCACCTGAGAAGAATAAAAAATGCTTTGACTTGATGCATTCTATTGTAGGTTAGGGCTAATACCGATCATGATATGACATGACTCGAAAACGACATGAATATTGCGGGTCAAATTACTAATAACTGCAAACTTAAACTATTAGAAATGACTCAAAATACATGTAATGTGTGTCACGACCCCAAGGATAAGGCCGTGATTATTAGAATTTAATTTAAATTTTAACTTAATTAAACTGAATTAATTAAGGAAAATCCATGAAAGTAAAATAAAATATAAAACTGTCAAAATAAATATTAAAATATATTGCTCCGGAGTCTTTCTTTTACAAAAAAAATATTTAATACAGTCCATAAAATAACTCGAAAACTTAATCTTTAATTACAAGATTAATTGGAAAAAATCAGTTTTAAGCACACTAATATACACAATCAACATAATTAAACATGTTTAATTCTTAAGGGCACTACATGTAGTTACAAGAATTGGATTCAAGAGCTTATGTTCTGATACTAGGTTAAGTTATTTTTACCCTCCAAAAACTTAAACTTTCAGGAGCAGCAAAAAATATGCATCCTGATAAATTCTATGCTGCATTTTACATAAACATAACACAAAATGGTGAGATTGGTGTAAGCATTCACTAACCTGGTATTTCTCCCTGTACAATTTAACAGCCGTTGCATGAGCAAGAAGAATGTGGTGAAGTACCACGTAAGGTTCAATTGCAGAGTTCCCCGCCATGCAATTTCCGGCATATTTCGAACATCGTCCCGGTGCGTGTAGACCAAGATCATATCCATAACTAGCAAAAATATTTGGTTCATTGAAAGTAATCCAGTTCTTCACTCTGTCACCAAATTCTTTGAAGCAAAAGTTCACGTAGTCTCGATAGTCATTCCTATGAATTAATTAAGATCCGTAATTGATGATTATTATTAACAAAATTGATAGTCATACTTTATAGTTACTTGATTTCTTGATATCAAATGTTTAATTACACATATGTCTTACACAATATTGGGGCTCAAGAATCCCCCGTATTCATCTTCAAGGACTTGTGGACAATCCCAATGGAACAAAGTCACAAAAAGTGTTAAACCTGCTTAATTATACAAATAAAATGGAAACTTAATTTATTAGGAACCACAATATAAATTCTAATACAAGAAAATCGTAGATTTATCAATGAAAATTTACCCTTAGATAGCAGCTCATCTATGAGGTTGTTATAGAATTGTACTCCCTCCTTGTTCACTCCTCCACTTATTTTCCCTCCTATATAATTAAATCAAAATTAATTAGGTTATTGATTTACAACATTTATTATGGCAATTCTCAACCAATAATGTGAAAAATCAATTTACTTGGTAGTATCCTTGTCCACGAGATGGAGAACCTAAATGAGTCAAAACCAATTTCTTTCAACAAATCTATGTCTTCCTGTACATTTTTTCACAAAATATTATTAGCGCAGAAAATCGAAATTATATATTTGTTAATATAATATAGCGATTATGGGCATTTATGTTGTATTCATTCCATATAATTAGCGTATTGAAAAATTTGCCAACATGAGTTCTATGCGGCCATTTTCAATCATCACATAGAGATCAATAATAACGATTACATTACCTAACCAGCTCCAAATTATAATTCAATTTATCCGAACTGAATAACTAAGGACGTGTTCTTTTTGCAAGTTTGAGTCGAGAAATTGAGTTGAAAGTAAATTTATGTGAGAAAAAATAATATAATAAAAATGTTAAATTTAAATTTTTATGAAAAAAAATTGTAGTAAAAAGTTTTAATTTGTTGTTATTTAAATTTTGAAAATAATATATCCACAAGTTAAAAGTAAAATAATAACGAACTAGTGGATACCTTATAATGATAATAAAAGCCTGCGCCAATAGCACCAGTAGTGTGGTCCAAAATTTTTTCTGTGGAGGAACATACATTTTGTTTAACAAGCTAGTGATAATTATATAAAAAAAAGGAGAATTCTATAGTAGGTAATTAGAACGTTACTTTTATAATTTTGTTTAACAAACTAGTGATAATTATAAAAAACAAATGGAGAATTCTATAGTAGGTCATTAGAATGCTACTTTTATGCATTTTGTTTAACAAGCTAGTGATAATTATAAAAAACAAAAAGACAATTCTGTCATTAGAACATTACTTTTATACATTTTGTTTAACATGCTAGTGATAATTATAAAAAAGAAATGGAGAATTCTATATTAGGTCATTAAAACGCTACTTTTATGCATTTTGTTTAACAAACTAGTGATAATTATAAAAAATAAAAAGAGCATTCTACAGTAAGTCGTTGGAACGCTATTTTTTTCTACCCACATATCGAATAAAAATTCCATGACCTTGACAGGTGCCCAATAATTCGGTGAGACGGCCAAATCGCACGAAAATATCTCCGGAAAGATGCGTCGAGTACAATAATTGCATGACTTGGTCAGTTGTTTCATGATAAGTCTTGGTCACAAAACCAAAGTTCACTCGTCTTTAAGAGATTGGTCGTTTCAAAATTATCACTTAAATTTAAGAAAAAAAGAGAAAAATAAATCAAAATTTAAGATGAATTAAAATTAATAAGTTAATAATTTACATAAATTAATAAATATGTTAAATTATTATTTTTGTTTATAATTTGTCTAGTTATGAATTATAACTTGATAAATTATTGTCCATAATTCACGGGTTTTTTTTCATAATTTGTCTGGTTATGAATCATAACTTGACAAGATTATTCATAACTTATCTGATTATGAATCATAACTTAACAAATTATGGTATATTAATTTTTATACTAAAAATTGGTCTATATATTTTTTTAAACTTTTCATATTGATTTATTTCCTATTATTTTCGAAATTCAATCTACCAAATGAACCTTTTTTTTTGTTTTTGTTTTTATTTTTGTTTTTCTCTCTGAAACCAAAAGAAGGAGATTTATGATACAAGGAAATCTTCCTCTAATAAATCTAGAGGGTTGAGGGTTGTTAATCTAACATCTCCACGTACGTGTTCATGCAAAGAATAGATTTGCAATTATAAAGAAAGCTATATATATTCCCTTAATTATAATTTTGCTACGAATCTGTTTGGAAAATTAACATAATTAAGCTAAAATAGATGTCGTTAACATCTCTTTCATCTAAGCTTTTCTTATTTTTCTAAGATAGAAATAGACGAAGATAAACTTAGAAAGACAGAAAAGAGGGGAAAAAGGATAGAGAGTGCGTTATTGTTCTTGTGGGCCAACACGTTTCTGAATTATCCTAATAATGGTAGGGGAAGGGGGTAGGGAAAGGGGTGGGGTATACTTCTGAGGGTATTTGTTTCACAGAGTTAAAAATTTGAATTATGTTTGTAAAAAAAAAATTAAAATTTAAGTTTTTATGAAAAAAAATATTATAATAATAAAATTTGAGTTGTGAATTAAATTGTGAAAAAACAAGATCTTAAAGTTTGGTTATATCACTTTCTCAAAGCTATTATGAATCCATTTTAACATGAACCTCTAGATTTGTGTCCTATTAATAAAAATATAGGAAGCATCGCTAGTCCGGCGGCCATACGATAAAAATAAGACTTTTTGGTTCATTTTTGTAAACATTTTTACTTTATTGTAGAAACCATTTTGTTTAAGTTTAATACTTAATAAAATCGGCCAGTCCACAATCATATTACATTAAACTTGCTTCTGTACCAGCGTGTTATACTAAAATGTCACAAGTTATTATGAAAAATGTTACATTTGCCAAACAGTATGGCTGCCAGACTAAAATCTTTATCTAATATTATATGTCTTTATAAAAGATGAACATTTCAGTTTTTTTTTTTTGTTGAAATTAAAAATTTTCAATTATGAAATATGTTACATTTGTCCAACAGTATTATGCCAGACTAAAATCTTTACCTAATTCTGTACCTTACTCTCGTCGGGAATGAATTTGAAAAAAAAAAAAAAAAAAAAAAAAAAAAAAAAATTGTCGTTTCTACATCCAATTTTTTTTTGAAGAATTCAGAAAATTCCAGACCTTGCTCGAATATGAACTTAGGCATGAGCATTAGGAGTACAGAAAAAACATAATTGCTTCATAAACACATCTCCAAAGTTAAAGAAAAGTACGAGATTGGTGGTTTTCAGGCAACAACTTAGTTTAGATCATGTGAATATCTACCTTAATTCAAAAAAAAAAAAAAGAATAACTGGGAATAATATTATATACATATTTCTCTATAATCGTAATTCTAAAGAAGAGATTGAGATTCGAGAGAAACCAGGCTGTGTTGCCGTGAATGTATCCCAGATGTGGGGTCCTCTGCCATTGGCTGCTCCTTCATACTTCAAACAAAATAAAGAAACCAAAACGCAACAGATAATCAATAAAAAAAATTAACAAAGAAGAAACCAAAAAAAAGAAAAAAAAAGAAAGGTTCAATTATATATACATACGCATATATGTATATACATATATATATATATATATATATATATGTATGTATGTACCTGATAAGCACTCGACGAGGTTCCAAAAATGAAATTAGGCGGAAAACTTTCCCTGCTCAGATAACCTTCGGTGCGACTGAAGAGCAAATAGGCCAATGGTAGGAGAAGCAAAGGGAAAATCTCATTGCCATAAGTTCCCATGACTACGCACCCTTGCTTTTACACTATCTCTCTACGTATACACACATATATAGGTACAAAAATTTTCAAAAGTATCTCTTTATTGTGGGCGGCTGGGTGGGCGGCTCGATGGGTAATTTGGCTGTTTATGGCACTTTCTCTTTATTGTTTTTTATGCTTTTTTTAAAATTTTTAAACAAGCTTGGAACTTAGAAAATATATGATATATCATAGTTATATATGCACAAACATATTTCTATAGAATCATCGTTCTAAAGAGGAGATTGAGATTTCAAGAGAAATAACGTCGGGTCCTTTCCCATCAACGTAGACTGCTCCTTCATACTTCAAAGAGGCAGAACACGGCCAAGCATATTAATTTAATCTAATCTTATATAAAAGAGGCAAAGATGTTAGTCCTCCTTTATCACATCTCAACCTCTCATTTCTCTCTTTTGTTTTTATTTTTTACATTTTTTTTTTATTTCTAATCTTTTCTTTTTTGTTTATTTTTACTTTTTCTTATTTCTATTCTTCTTTTACATTTTTCTTTAGTGTTTTTTAATCTTTTTCCAAGTGCTCTTTTGTAATTTAATTTTCTTATACAATATTTCCGTGATTTTTTTTCATTTTACTATTAAAAATAATTCATTTTATATGTACCCCATGCATAATTTACTATGTGATATTTTTTTTCCTTTTAAATGTGCTCTACTAAACTTTTTTTTTTTTTTTTTTTTTTTACTAAACTCATATATAATCTAAGGTTAGTAATTGAAACACAATTTGACTCGAATTCGTGGTTTTATAAGTTATTTTCTTAAAGTGCGTATTTCGTTTCTAAAATCCTTAAAGAGATCTACGATTTCATGTTCACTATCAGGCCCGAAACATCTCCTATATCACCAATGTGCACCAAACCCGTGCACTTTTGGCCTTAAGTCACATATTGAATCTGTTTCAGAAATTAGCCTGAAAATGATGTTTAAGGTCTTTTTTGAGAAAATTGCTATTTCACAAAAGTTGTTCGGAATAAAATTTCCTTCAAATTGATATCAAATACTTTTCTGAAATTAAAATTCTATCTTTGTTTTCTATTCAAAACAGCGCCGGATTCCAATTTCAGAGTCAATAAATCTAATTTCTGATTTTGGTTTGAAACTTATAATTTTCTTTGTTTTAGGTTTCTACACATCTTTAATCACCTATTCAAGTTACTTTACACATCTTAATCCTCCTAATCTTCATTGCAACCGGTTTTAGTTCAATTTTTCTAATTAAATTTTGGCGGACTTCTGCCTAATTTTCAGGTTTCTTGAGCTAACCATGGCTCGTTTATCCATGATTTTAACCACTTAAACACATCACATAATCATTCTCATTCCTATTTATCATCATAAACATCATAATCTCTAAGTTTTTTGGTACCATTCATAACCATAAGCCAATCATCATTCTTAAGAAAATTTTCTCATGTTCTCTACTGTTCATGGACATGCAGGCATGATAGAAAAAGAGGGGAAAAATTGAAATTTTACCTTAGAAGAATGAAGAACAAGTTCCGGTGACGTTAATCTACAGTGGTTTTCCGTCGATTTTGAGCAAAACTTGTTTTTCTCACTTTGGGGAAATTTTTTTTTTCTTCCTCTCTTTGACTGATGCTCTCTGTTTTCTTGGCATGGAAAATGACCATTTTAGTTATATTTTTTTCCTTTAAAACCAACCATAAAGAAAGATGAGGACTTAGGTGCAATTTTGACATTTTCTAGAGTCCTTTTTGCATGAAAAGTCAAAATTTATTTTTCCTTCTTCAATAAGCTAGGCTGGCCACTCTTTTTACTTTTCATGTGTCCTAATCACAACCCTCTATCCATTAATGACTTTAAATCTCAATCATTCATTGTTAATAACTATTTTATTTCGGTTCAGTTTAATTCCTATCTAGTGCACGTTTTACCCGCATTTTTCGGACAGTTTGTCAACTTTGCTCAACATTGACTAACTTTTCAAGAGTGACCTATTGGTCGACTCTTGGTCAATAAATTTCAACTCGGTCAACCCTAATTGATCGAAAATCCTAATTTTCTCAGTTCAGTCTTTCGAAGCCGTTTTTCGTCCGTTCTTCGTTCTGATTGTTACTAAAGTCTTAGAATTGATGTTTTTCAATTCTTTTTCATTCCTTAAACTTAATATTCATGTGTTTGTCCTCTTATGGGATTAATACAACATTCCGAGTCTCATTCTTAATTACAGTATGAAATTCAGTAACTGTATCATAGTTCATAAATTTCTGACTTGTAGCTTATACTTTGCTATTCAATATCAATATCAACAAATACTTATCATAAGAGTATTCATATATATATAATACAGAGAATTCTAAAAAATTTCTTCTTACACAATAATTTTTTGACAAATTTGCCGGTCATGACATGCCTAGGCTGGGGCGGAGGTGGTATAAGGTTATTTGCTCTCAAAACTTGACGAAACTCATCAAACCTCTTTCAGCAGCCCATCATAAGTAGGACGAACACTATATTAATAAAACATATATTAATCAAGAGTAATAATTAAAAATTCAATTTACCTTAAGTTCAACATTTTTTTTTTTTGATCATGTGCGAAAATTATATGTATGAAAATGGTGGATCTGTAAAGCCAGCCCATTCTGTAGTTTATTGTCTGGCCAAGACTGATTTTCGGCATCTGCGCTTTTATACAAATACCACACCCAAGAGTTTTGAATGGAGTTCATCATGAAATATATTTATAACAGAAAATTCATACAAAACACATTTATAATACCAGAATGCCTTTGACATTATCATACCAAAGTAACTACAGTTACTAGCATGATACTTATGCGTACTCCAATGTGATGCCCAAATCTCATTCAATGGAGGAAGCCGATTGAGCTATTGGCGGTACCCGATTGTGCTACTGGTGGTAGCCGACTGTGCTACTGCCACTAGTCGATTATGCCGCAACCCGTTTGTTTGTTTATTTTAATTTGAAAATACACAAAAATGGGGGCAGAATAGGGAGATCCTTGGTGACCGGCATTGTGGGAGCGAAGTAATTCTCCATGACACAGTGGGGGTTGGTGCAGAATAGTATATACATGCCGTGCATACAAATAATTTCAATTTAATTCATCATTGTCCTTAAGTAAAAGGCTAATTTAACACATTACTATTCTCATGTACGTGAGTAAATATGGTGCCCATCTCTTCTTTTGTTACAGCATCTCCAAAAGAACTCATTAAATTTTAATTAAAATAACTAGAAAATTATTTTAACTGGTAATTTTTTATCGAATCACACCAACCATACTCTTCATTTTACGTAAATATATTTAAATATTTATTGTGCATAAAATATAAATAATTTAATTGAATTTAACAAAGACCACTTACATTTGTTAATGTTTGAAAGGATAAAATAATAGATAACGTGAAATGTCTAGCATGTTCTTGTTAGCTATATTTAGCTAGTGTGTAATGTATTCTCTAAAATAACGAGTCATTTAGCTAATGGTTGGAGTGGAAATCACAAGCTAAAAAAAAAAAGAAAAGTTAAATACATTAACCATATAGCTAAAAATATAAAATAGCTAACACACTTGGAAATGCTCTTCGGGCAACAAGCGTAGAAGGGTTCGCATACTAATATAGGAGGTTGATCTAGGGATGTTCATGGTTTGACCAATCCCAAACCATTAAGTTTTCAGACCATATCGTTTTTGACAGTTTAAAAAAGAGTCAGACCCGACCAGACTATTTGCAACGCGGGACCAAACCAGACCAGAAAAATTCATGTTACTTATGATACTCTAAAATTAGAATTATAACAGTAATGAGTAACAATAACATGTAATCCAAAGCTAAAGTCCATAAGTATTAACTAATAATATTATAATAAATAACAACAAAAGAGAATTCAAAGCAAAAGTTCATAACAAGTAACATTACAGTCATCTAAAAGGTAACAAGTAACAATAACATACAATCCAAAATAAAAGTCCAGAACTAGTATAGGGAGAAACATGCAAAACTACATAGGCACTATATAATCAACATATATAGATATATATAAATATATATTTACATTGGTTTTTTAATATATATAAATATATATATATATATATATATAATGGTACAGTCCAGTCTGGACCGTTTGAAAGTAATTACAAACTAGCCTGAACCATTAATGAAGTGGTCTAGTTTTATTTCAAAACCGACAGGCTAAAAACTGTCGAACTGATTCAGACTGACAATTTCGACTGAACCGTGCACAACTCTATGTTAACCAATCAACTTCCGATATTTATTCACCAACATCTAATATTGAGATCTTGAGTTCAAACTCCCTCACTTCACATTAAGAAAAAAGAACTCCTGAATGCAATAAAGGATATGCTATTCAATGAAGACTGTAGCATCCTTTTTAAGGAATTTCTTGAACCAGAAGGCGGAATCTTTCATGTGTCTTTGCAGCTTGTTTTTGAAATCAACATAAGTCATGCCAAACTGGTTAGCATAACCAGATTCCCATTCAAAGTTATCCAGCAATGACCAAGCATAGTATCCTTTCACGTTTGCTCCAGCCCTATGAAGAACTCAGCTTGTTAGTATATCTTAATTTTCCTCATTTGAAGATCCAACAACTATATGCTGAGATCCTAATTTTGGGTAGTGCCTATTTTGGATGTTAGACTACATAAAAATTATATAAAATATATACTATAAATTTTAAAAGGATTTAGTAGTTCAGATCGACATGAATAGGATTTTCCCGTATTCTCTGAAAGAATCCTCATTTTACTTTATTGTGCTTTTTTCATTCCCTTTTCTTGATAATATATATAATAAGAAAAGCAATGTTTGATTCCATTAGTGAAAAGGAAAGCAAGGCGCATTCGCTAGAGATTAAGTATTATATATATATATATATATATTAGTTTTGTATGAATGCTAGATAGATCTATGCATATGGAAAATAATATATAAGAATATGCTTCTAGTCTAGGAAAGAAAAACGATAAAAGAG